TTTAGTATCGAACTGGTCGAATTAATGTACTGAAAGTTCGTAAAAGCTGGACTACGGCTGCACATAATCGGAAAGTAGCGGAACGAACGAGCATCACGAAGGATGAAACTAGAACGCGATTAATAAAGAGAACATTGAGAAAGTCTAGTCTCGCGCGGTAGCGGGGAACTTTATAGTTTTCTCTTAATTAGGTCGTGTCAACCTTGGCTACCCGAACGCGGATCTCCTCTTCGTGACCCGCATACACCACTTTGGATTGCTCCGCGAATTCACAGGAGGAGGAAGGACACGCCGAACGTGTGCTCCCTTCCAGCGTCAAAGGCTGTCAGATTCGAAATGCAACGAGAGATCCGACGAGAGGAAAGGACCGCCTCGAAGTCCCTTTAGGGGACTCTTCTAATGTACACCCACATGTGTGCTATCTGCCAACGATGATAAAGAGAGAAATATCGTTAAAACATTTGTTTCCAATATTGACAACGTTCGTAGCTATTGCCAATCAATATATCAACGGATACTTCAATGAGAAAAATACTGCAACTAGAGAGAGTATTCTCTCTATTGCTATTATTTATCATAGTTATTTTATCAGTATTATATCTCCCTCGGAAAAGTCAATCCAGTCTTGTATTTATTTGATCTGCATTGCAATTATGATTACATTGAATAATATGTATGCGTGTGTGGATAATTTTCACAAATATGAAATCATGCTTGTGCGGCAAATTTACGATCAAGCAAAAAGCGAACGCGATGTCGATAATCTTCAGGCGGGTTTCTTTAGATATCCGTTTTTCTATCAGATATCCTAATTAGATTATAGACAGGCGTTTGTCGCTGCAGAGGAGCGCTGAGGTGAAAGAGGGCAGAAATGGCGAGGGAGGAAGAATTCCATCTGTCGAACTTATAAACGATCGTCCTCCGTTCCGATTTCATTTCACGACCCGTCGCACAACTAGACGCCTCTTCCTCCACCGCCTTCTCTCATAATTGTCATAACTTCCTGCATTTTCTCGCCGTTTTATATCGCTGCTCGTACATCTTCCTCTCTCTTTCTTTCTTTCTCCCTTTACCGATTTCTCATTCGTTTTCCCCGCTCGCTGCTTACAGAAAGGAACGAGGACGACTTTCCGGCCGTGCAGGAAGATATTAGCAATAAATTATAGGAAGCACGTCGGGAAATGATAAAATATACGCGTACTCACGAGTATCATTGATGGCTGCAGTATTATGTCTTCTATCTTTGCGTAATTTGCGGTATAGCGACTCATTTCGTGCGAGGCTTTTCAATGATATTTTACGATGATGTTGCGGCAAGGAGAATTTAATAAACGCGACATAGAGCATTCTCGTTTGTTCTCTTACTGACATAAATGTTTGGTTGATTTCCCAAGATGATTTGCACATTCGCATTCGTCAACGGTCTTCGACTAGAGGTGTATTGCTAGGATCGCAATAGACGATATATTCACAGAAACACGATATTCGAGCAACACGCAACCGGAAACCGCATTTGAGCAGCCTTTTGACCCACGACAGTCAAAGAGCACATCCGCCGGTCCACGGTGACCTTAAGCACACTCGAATTCCCCCTCGTTCATTCCGTTCTCGGAGCTCGCCCTCGCGCCGAAATTCCCCATACGTCGCGCCGAAAGGAAATTCAGGAAACAGCGACGCGACGCGCGGGGAAGCCTGCGTCGAACAAGGGGATGATCCCGGGTTAAGGTCAGACCGCGGGGCCGATTCAGGGCCGTACTTACGATAACCGGCGTTCTCGTCGGCATCCGTCGAGGAGCTCGACGGCAGGAGCGTCAGAGACGCTGAGAAAGGGTCGGGAGAGAAGAGAGAGAGTATTGACGTTGCGCCGCTTTTAAATATTGCATCCAAGTCACGTTCCGGGACCGTATCCTCGTCCGCCCCTGCCCCGCGCGCCCTCTGCCACCCCTGGCAACTCCCGCGACCCCGTGCCAACCGACGAGCACCGGGACCGAACGTCGCATAACTACCGCAAGGTTTCCAAGGAGACAAAGGAAGAAGTAACGTAGACGGAGACGACGAAGACGGGCGAAAGGACGACGACGACGGAAAAAAAAAAAAGGAAAACATTCGTCACCTCCGGCAGTGGAGAAGTAGGTTCGGAGGAAAAATAACAATGCACAGCTAACATCATATCTGCGCGAGACACATGCTGCGGAAGAATGAAAACGAGGAGAATAGATGACGTAGGGAGACCAAGAAGGTAGAGAGACGGCTTTTTGTCGGCTTTTGTCCTAGATTCTCCATCTTCCTCTACTCTCTTCTCTCCATCCTCTCTCTCTCTCTCTCTCTCCCTCGCTCTCTCTCTCTCTCTCTCTCTTACTTATTCTCGATTTCGCGCGTCGCCGTTTCGCAAATGATCTATTTACTTCGGGTTTCTCTCTGTGGTTTCGCGACTTGCTGCGCCTCCCACAAGAGTTTTAGAGGTATGAATGGACCGACCGAGAGAGAGCGGCTCGAATAACGCGACCAGACCGAAGGGACTGCATGGAAGAGAATGAATAGCGCGGCTGAGAACGAGACAGATGATCATTTGTTCGCTAACGTAACGAATATTAGTCCTGTCGCGAAAATTGTAATCTATCGTGATCGATATCCTCTCCCAAATAGACAGACATAAAGAGTGCGACTAAATAATTAACGAGTGATTGGCAATAGCGAATGGGAAATTGCTCCCCAATTTCTACATATATATTCGATTTTCCAATTAATTTCCCAATTATAAAACCAAAGATAATACGAAGAATTAGAGAGCATCTTAATCGCACTCTTTGGCAGTAACTTCATTAGTCGACTTGTAAAAGTCTATCTCTTATGAGTGGTTCATATGGCATTCATATTTATTACGTAGGATAGAAATAGAAATACAAAATGAAATACGAAAAAGATAAAAGAAAAATGATTCAAATTTACTCCAAATATAATACGTCATACAAAATACAATATGAAAATTTGAGTAAATTTTCTGCTACATCGATATGACACAAAATTTACATCACTGTATGATGTAAATTTAACGATTAATTCGATAGATTACATTTGCCTCGTAAATATAATTATAAAGTTGGTTTTCCATTATTGATTGTCTTATGTCGTAATGATCATGAAAGTCTAGCTGGGCTATTACGTTAATGTACATTTTAATGCGCGGACAAAATAACGACTCGGAATTTTATCTATTATAAACGATGTCCTCTATCACGTTGACATATATTAATGCGCGGACGAAATAACGACTATAGATAGATCGAGTATTTTCTTGTGTGTTTTCGAATGTTGGGATCTCGAGAGCTCATTTTTCTATACGGTAAACGAAATCTTGATCTCTAGATAGCTCACGCTGTTCTTTTCTCCTTCGTATAAGGCAAGACGATTTAAATATTGGGATAGCGCGTGATGTTACGAAGACCTGAAGGATTAAAAGTTCATCGATAAGAGGAGAGAAACGTAACACGTGTCTAGTATCGATTTCGTTCGGTCCACAAGCTATATGGAATTCTAGCTTTAAAGGAAAGACGTAAGAAAAGAAGAAAACTACATCAGCCTCTCCTCTTTTCACTTCTCACCGGTCTTACTCTCTCATACGCGCGATCTTTAAATATTACACGAGATCGATCTTGGGATCCAAGTCCCGCTGCGATTTATTTCCATCCGTCCCGAGTCGGAGTACGCGCTATACTCGCGAGAACTACTGCGGGAACTTTGGCGTATCGACCTGCCGCAACGAAAATATATAAAATTCTCGGTCCTCCGCGTTCGACGTTCCTTCGCACGACTCGACTACTCGACTGCGCGTTCGCTGATCGTACATTCCCCGTACATTCCCAGCGGAGGGTGGCAGTTAGTCACGACAAGTGGCTCGGTTGTTAAAGACCGATCGGCAATCGCATCGTGAGGCCGCAAACTGTGACAAGCCCATCTCGCGCGCAGTGCGACATTTTTATCTGTACGACTTATCAAAGTCTGGGACAAGAACGCTAACGAGCCTCTGCGCATTGGCGGAAAATATTTCACGTGTAACCGAAAGCATTAATCTTCGGCGGATGACAGTTGGTTAACGCACTTTTTATATCTGTCACTCTTTTTAATACTGGCGACGGTTATAGCGTCGTTTTATATGAGCGTTTCGAAAACGCGACAGAAAGAAGCAAAAAGTTAGGCAACTTTATAGGTCAGATCGTAACGCCCGGTGAGTTGTTGGGCGCGAATTCTCATCACGTAGAAAAAGAAAAAGCGCGTTCCGTGCTTATCAGCGGTGTGCGAGAACAATAGGCGAGAATTACCTCCCGCAATAACCGGAGCACACTTATCGCTCTATAGCCAGAAAAAGATCCCACCAAAAAGCGTTAAATTCGCACCAGCAGCTTCAAAAGCGCGAGCGAGAAATATGAACTTTTTATCGCTAAGACAGCTGTCGACTGTCGATAGATTTATTATGACATATTGGAGCGAAGTATATTTCGTGTCGTTGTCGCAAAACCGGATCAATCAGAACTGGACGATTCGTGGGATGAATTATTAGAAGGTATTCTCACCGTATCGATCGAAATAAAAATATTCATGTCGCGTTTAAACAACGCTACAATTTTCTTCATAAAACAGAATTTATTTATAAAACAGATATGGATTTGTCCTAGAATGAAATAATAATTCTTTCACATCTCTCTAAAACTTCCTCTGACAAATTTGGGACAACTTTTCTCGCGTAAGAATAGAACGGAGAAGAGCGAGATACGACGCTATTGGTTTCAAATATCGTATATCGCACTGTATCACGTATGACAGCGTACAGCGAGAAAATCGAAGTGGTTTCCAATATGTTATAATAGTTCTATCTCTCGCGAGGATAGTTGTATAAGACAGTGTTATCGATGACATCTGCCCAACTATATTCCCTCGACAAATCCCCCTCATCCTCCGATACGCGCAATTCGCAAAATTGTATAACGACAAAAATTACTTACAGTAAAGTCCGAACCGTTTCCACCCTCGAGGACTCCCGCGAGCAGCCTGGAGCCAGCTGGCTTCTCCCCTCTATGTCTCTCTATTTCTCTCTCTATTTCTCTCTCTCTCTCTTTCTCTCCCTCTCTCTCTCGCACCCCCTCGGCCCACACTATCCTCCAGTTGCACCTGGTTGCAACGAACCTTCCGGAACAAGGATAACGCGCGGACTGCGCCGGGGAACGAGGAGGGAACGATATAACGCAGCGCGCACGGAACACACGCGTCACGCGAACACGAACGAGGGTGTGCGAGGGTGGTGAGGTTAGAAACGCCGAGGAGTCTAGGGGTTGTCGTGCACAGAAGAGCGTCTAGTTCGCGTGGAGGGCGTCGCGGCGCTGCCAAGCGACGACGCCACCGCGTTTCTGCAACCCTCTACGAGTCCCTTTCTCTTTCTCTCTCACGCGCGCGCAATCCCTATTGGCTGACGATGGCAACCCCTTGCCCCCACTGTTCACTCAACGTTCAGGAACGTCGGCGCGCACGTGGGCACCCCAAACGTCACCCTTCTAGACGGTGTCTTGCGAAAAACGAGAATCGAGAGAGAGGGAGAGAGAGAGAGAGAGAGAGAGAGAGAGAGAGTCGCGCGACGCGATTCATCGTCGCGAACCGATTCTTCTGGTGTTTAATTTTTTTAACCGAAATTTTTTGGAGTAAATGAAAATGTAGATTTAAACAATATTAAGGAAATTGCACGACTGATCAACGTCTCGAGTTATAAAGCCTTGCGGTAGAATCTGGGAATCCCGATCGGAGAAGATACGACACTACAAAAAATTACACAACGACGACTCTTGAAACACATAGTCGCGAATTTTGTCTATAATTACGCAGACTTGTGGATTACTTTGGAAAGTTCATTTGACATTCCCTCTCTCCCTCCTCTCCTCCCTCCTTTCGTCGTCGTCCGGCTCACGATGTGTACACGCGTTTTCACTTTTTGCATCCGATAACGATAATTATTACGAGCTAATTTCCGATTTCCTTCGTGTTGCCCTCTTTTGAATAATAAACGGACGCTCGTTTGCAAAGTTTTCAAGTAGAATGCGCTTTAACGTTCCCGAAAACTCGTGCTACAACGGTGAATAATTATCGCGAAAATCGCTTGTTACTTGCTAATGATGAGAAAGAAGAGAGAGGCACCGCTGGGAAATCATGATAATAAGGCATCACTTAACGATATTACTAATATATTGTAATAAGAGCGATACTTCGGATAATAAATTGAGAAGTTTACTCATCGCTTCGATATAATTTCGATGTATGTCTGTAATGAAATTCCACGCGTTTAAATAAAGCTGCACGTCGAAAAAAGAAGAAAGAGAGAAAGAGAAAGAGAGAGAATAATTGACTCGAACTGGTGTGACGTATCAAACGTTTGAACGAGTGACGAGCAAAGCGATCGGAAAATCGGAAAACTCGCAGTGGATCGACGAGGCGTTCTGCCGGGTGATCGAAGGCTCGTTAACGATCGTAATAGACAATGGCTTCAGAAAGCGTGACAAGAGCCGTGTGTGTAATTGTGTACTTGCCAGGGAAGGGAGGGTTACAAAAGTGAATTGCTGGGTCGTGCCACGCGCTACTACGACAAGCGTGCAAAAATCAATACCAACAGAGACCTGTCGTCCTGAAATTGCTTGTATCTCTTATCTCGTCTTCTTTAGCCACTCTGCGCGCTGCTTCCCATTCGACGCCGGCAACACTGATATCAAGTATCGATCCTCGCATTTCGACTCGAGAGATGAAAAATAGACGAAGCGGTATTACAGATTAAAATTCGATGCTCGAAATCAGAGCGAGTGGAAAAAGTTAAATACGAATAAGTGGTAATCATTATCTAACAATCCGGATTTATATTACGCGAGAAGCTAAGAGCCGCGGAACGTCGATTTTGGTCGAGATTATTTTCGACCGATATAACAAATGCGCTATCTTCGTTAAAAAGAGCTCCAATTCAGAGCTCGAGCGTAATTAACGGCGTTACTGTTAATCCAACGAGCTGTCTGATCCGATTAGTCTGTCTCTCAGTCGTACTAAATGTTAATCGAGAATTCTCACGTATTGACGCGTTATCACCAATGTTTTCGGTACAATTCGCAGGCGGCTTTTATCAAGCCAAATCAGCTGTGCATTCGTCAAAGGATCTATCGTCAAAACACTTCCTGATATCGGTGCGACCTATATATTTGCCCATCGAGATCGTGTTTTATCGCCGTATTCAACGTGTTCGACGGGCTCTGACGAAGAGTAGAGCCTGTTGGTTAAGCCGGGAAATTTATTGAGACGAATCTCGCCAGATTGGACATTTAAATACGCGTCGCATCCTGTCGTCGCTTCCATTCTTTCGTCCAGTTGCGCGTCCGCCGGTTTCGGGTTTATTAATTATTCCGGGTAGCGAATGGACCAAGTCGGGAATAGCGATTACCTGGCGGTCCGTGCAAAAAAAACCATATTCTCCCGAGTAATTTTGTGTAGCTTATTTATTAAAAAGCGCCCGGAGGCGAAACAACTCTTTAAATCATGTGCGTCCCCAGGTCGTCTACGGTCCTCTCATGTCTTTCTAATATTTATTAATCTCATTCGCTCTGACGACTCCCCAGCACCGCCACGAGATTCACACATCGATTGCTCACCCAGCTAGAAATCGGACCCTGCAACATTAATATAACGGCACGGAGAGTTCGTTCCGATCTTATTTCCCTTCGTCGGGAAAATGCGCGCTTTGTTATGTACTCGCCAAACGAAACCGCTCGGAAAATTGCCGCGCTAATGATACCGCGTCGCGCTCGTGATCCGCGCCAATCAAGAAGACAGTTTGTCTCCTTGTTAGACGCGCACGATCCGCACTGCGAATTATCCCACATTACTGCGGACTCAAACCGATTATAACATCGAATAATAGCTTTCAACTTTCTTTTAATTCTTACAATCGTATTCAAAAAATGTCTTGCTAGTTCAGATAGGATTCTATAAGGATCACAGTTCAAATTTATCGCTGTTTCTTCGTATCTGCTTGAAAATTGTCTATAGTACATAGAATTTACAGCAACAGCATTCTAGCAACATCTGCAAGTAGTAAAAAAACCATTAAAAAAATCAGAAAAAGTATAGTGCGGCAAAAATAGAATAATAGCTAATAATAGAATCTCACACTCAAAAATGGTCTTGCAGACACAGCGAAAAGTATCCAGATACGAAAAATTAGCCAAAATAGATAAATGATGAGTAAACACTGCGATGTTGTATATGTTTTGCATTTAATCAATATATATATGATAGCAATGGAATTTCTGTCTGAACTATTTGTAAAATTTTGCGCAAGAAAGTCTCTCCGTGGCACTCACATCTACATTAATGCTAGAGAAAGTCACGCTTCTTATAAAAATTGACTGTGATAGAGAAGAAAATTAGAGACAAACGGATAATCCTTAATCTATTTAGGACTTATCTAAATCTACTTGCAGATGTTGCTAGAATGCTGTTGCTGTAAATTCTATGTACTATAGACAATTTTCAAGCAGATACGAAGAAACAGCGATAAATTTGAACTGTGATCCTTATAGAATCCTACCTGAACTAGCAAGACATTTTTTGAATACGATTATATAGAATAATAGTTTTCATTCTGTCCATTAGTTCTGATAGATGAAAGAACTAGTTAAACGGAAAAGAAAACCAGAACAATATATAATTATGTCAAGCAATATTCTGTGGACAAAGATCCTCGTGGACGCGCTCGCTCAGATACTTGAAGACAATTTTATAGTCTACAGCGCAAGCCGGTCAACCCTCTCAAAGACGAGATTAATCGATGTAACCGATTATATGTGTTCAAACAGCGAATTAATAAGCGGCGTGAAAGATGGCGGCTGTGTAAATTTCTTAGCTAGCCCCACGCCGTGCGTTTGTCTCGAAAGCGTGTGCGCGGTCATTAAACGATTATATTTTCGAGCGGCCGCAACGCCGAGGGTCGGCCTCGACAGGTTTGCACGTCAAAGTTTACCAAAGGCTTTTCAGAGCCGACGAACCTTCGCAATACACGGTTCTAGCTGCTAGGTCCGTGATTGTGTAGGTGCGTCGGGGTACATGGCAAACGAGACCTACGCCAAGAGCCGCATATACAGGGTGTAGATCGCGCAACTCATTTTATTTCGCTGAATCGAGAGAAAAATTATTCTCATGTCCGTCTCGCTTATTTACATCGCTCATCTCAATTGACATAAACAGTGTATCACGAAACGCGCGCGAAACATGGGTGATTATTCTATTCTCATTATGAATAGATGAGGAAATAAGCAAGAAATAACGAGACTAGTTAATTACTAAAGCATCGCGCGCTCGACGTCGGCGCGAGTTTCGAAACACCCCGTGCACGTCATGCTTCTGTATACACGTGCGAGAACGGAGTCGAGTCGAAGGGAGGGCATTAGGGATGGGTGATTGTAATTTCACACATGGCGTAACGCACCGCTCTGCCGCCCTTCACCTCTCGGCTTACGCCCTACGATGTGAAGCCTTCCGCGGTATACTCTCCCATCCCTCTTCGTCGCTCCGTCGCCCCGTCGTGTATTTTGCTTTCGTCTGTTGAACGTACGACTGCAACCACATGCCATGGAATACCCACTTCTGGTCTTTCACTCTGCTCTCTCTTTCTCACCCATCCACTCATCCCTACGTTGTTCTCAAGCCAGCCAACCTGCCCGTCACTTTTCGCATTTCGTGACAAGCGGAACCACTGCCATATTGCCAACCACCAACTGTGATGCTTAGTAGCCGATTCAAATTTTCGGGCGAAAGGTAAGTTCACGCAAGGACGATTCATTATCTTGGGTAGATCGTAATTGTCGGATGATGGCAGTTTTTTTCAGCGGGTTTCTCTCGATTTTTCCGTTTTCGCTTACGACCCCATTTCGCAGCTTCGCTCTCGCATACGGCTAAGCTTGCTGCCTCAGGAAAGAACGGGCAATCGCTGAGGCTGAAATTAACCGAAGTTATCGGCGCAACCGAGCCTAATGCATTTTACGGAAACTACCTGTTTCCTGCATACGTACGCAACTCGCCTTCCGAGGCGACCTTAAAAGATTCACAAGGGCTGTCCGTGCGGCCGTTTCGCGAAAATTCTCCCCGCCGCTGTATCGCACGTTGCCGGCGATATTTAATATCTCGAAACTGGCGCCGGTTGCTCGCGCGAGAAAGTGCGAGGGGCGATGGAAAATTGGAGGGGGCAGGGAGGGAGCAGGCAGAGGGAAAATGCCGGGAAAACTGCCGCGGGTGTGGTGCGAGTGGCGCCTTATCAAAAATTAAAATTTCATTCGGCCAAACCGTGGCA